TTACTATTTCTAAGAAATTGAAAATAAAAAATACAATATAAACGTTTTCTTTTCTGAACACCATCTTCAGTGACATTATTGGCCCACTGGGAGGATTTGAGGACTGGCCCTAGCCCTAAGGCAAACGGAGTTTGAGACCCCCGATTTACACGGTCACTTTTAGGTTCTGCCTGTGTGTACATCTAATCTTCATCTCCATTGTTTCCTTGGGCTCCAGTCTTCTTGTTTGCTGCTCTGTCTCATCCTGCTCTCATTGTGTTTTCTTTCCACGCAGCTGTCTGCAATGACCTCCTCCTCCGTGTGCACCAAGTGTCCTCACTCTCCTCCTTGAAATCTCTCTTCTGCCCTCCATTTGCCTTACTTTCCACTGCTAATTTCTCTTCCACTGCTGTCCATTTCTCTTGCAGCTTTTATTTTAAAATATAAGAATTTATGTTGTCTGCTGTGTAATCTCTTTCCTTCTCCCATATTCTTAACCCTCATCCATCCTTTTCCAGGACCTTTCCTTTGTCTGTTATCTTAGTATTACGTGTTTGTCTCTTGCCCTGCATGGGCTACCCTTATTGCCACTTACAGAGATGGGGAGGCTGGGGCAGCAGGACGTGATCAGGCACTGCAGGACTGGGTGGTGGATGGGGCCATGAGGGGTGGGGTGGAATTGGGGAGTTAGGCAGAACCGTGATTCTCCTTCCTTCACAATTCTGGCCAGTGGAACTAAGCCAACATAAAAGGAAAAGTAATCTGCTGCTGGAGAAGGACAATCACAGACTACTTTGCCTCTGGATCAAGAGAGAAACCAGGGAATTAATTGTGACAGTCACAGTTTACACCCTGGCCTGCTCCCGGGACAGTGCAGCTATGCAATGTAAGAGATAGGTGGTATTATTAAACACTTCCCTTTACTTGTGGGCAAATTGTAAAGTTACAATCCCCATCCTTATGTGTTAAATTCTTTTGACTAGTGACCCTTTTAAAGATCTCTGTTCAGAACCCTCCAAAGTTATGGAGCTATACAAATGTTTATCAACAGTAACCAAAATAAGAACATAAGATAACATAAAATAATCCATATGTCTACACCAGGGGAAGAAGTGTATTTTTAATGTCAGGTTTCAGAGTAACAGCCATGTTAGTCTGTATTCGCAAAAAGAAAAGGAGTACTTGTGGCACCTTAGAGACTAACCAATTTATTTGAGCATAAGCTTTCGTGAGCTACAGTTCACTTCATCGGATGCATACTGTGGAAAGTGTAGAAGATCTTTTTATACACACAAAGCATGAAAAAATACCTCCCCCACCCCACTCTCCTGCTGTCTATTACCAATAGTCTAATAATAGTCTATTACCAGCAGGAGAGTGGGGTGGGGGAGGTATTTTTTCATGCTTTGTGTGTATAAAAAGATCTTCTACACTTTCCACAGTATGCATCCGATGAAGTGAGCTGTAGCTCACGAAAGCTTATGCTCAAATAAATTGGTTAGTCTCTAAGGTGCCACAAGTACTCCTTTTATTTTTAATGTGTGTTAGCAAACACATATGAACTAGTGTAAACAAAGCAGTTACAGTTTTAACATGATTTGACTGGTAAAGTAAACCCTTACCTCACCAAGAAATACATGTTAAAGCTACAGCTACCTTGTCTACACTAGAATTTTAACATGTTTGCTAGCATGTGTTAAAAATACCACACTATTTTTCCGAGTGATGACAAGGCCTAAGTGTGTGTAGTAATGTGCTTGCTGATATTAAGGTTTAGAAGTATGTTTTCTGGAACTGTAGTGCTATCTTGTGTGTAAAGGAGAATCTGGCATTATGTTCTTTTTGCTTACAGGAACTAAATTATAAAAGTGACTTCTTAGCTGTTAGGACCTGTCTGTCAAGGTAACCTTATTTAAAGTGCACTCATACATAGAATACGTAGATATTTAATTGGGTTGTGTTGATATGTTTTTATCTCTGGTTAAAACTGTACTTTAGATTTCTGCAGTTCTTTTATCCAGTTCCAAGAATAAACATTGTATTAGGGATGCAGCGATAGAGAGAGACAGTCTAGTATTGGTAATCCATTTCTATTTACTGACTGACTAATGGCCTCTGAGCACTGCTAACCTTACTGCTTTAGTATATGACTAATGTTAAAAGATGGTGGAATATTAAAACTCACATTTGGAAAGGAAATGAAAAATGAGAATTAAATACTAAAAAATAAAATATAGTTTTCAGTCAAACCTTTAGAGAAGGACAATGCACAATATGGTATAAGCTGGGGATTCAGTGCTGAAAAGTAAGGGACTGGATGATTCTATTTGATTAAAAGCAGAAGCCCTTATTCATTGTCTTTATACTTAGGAGTATAAAGACAGCTAATTTATTATAATATTGGTTTGGCTGAGCAGAGCAACACAGAGCCTTTTTCATGGAATCTGCTGCGGCTACTGGACTGCAGTAATCACCCCATTTCTAGCTTCTGAGTGTCCTTCCTCTCTCATTTTTACTTATGTGCACCTGATCTAGCCTCTAGACTCAGCCTGTGCTGCTGATTATGCTTCCCCAAAATTGCTGCCATAAATGCTCACTCTTCCCTCCGAGAGGTTTGATCTTTGTCCATTACTCTCCCTCTCCTAGCTCTGTGGGATGAAGTAATGAAGAGCCTCGTGGCATTATCTCTTATGACTTGGTGGGAAGGAAGAGGAGATATCCTTTCCAACTTGGGTGGCACCTGTCTACTCTCCTTTCTGTGGCCGAGTGCAAAAGGGGACTGAAGATCTTGGTGTCAGGGAGGAGTATGTCCATCTTGCAGAGGAAAGAGACAAGGGGAATGCTCTCAGTGTCCCTAGCAGGAGCTCTTGAACACTGAAGAGCATGTTGGTGTTGTCTCTTGGAAAGATGGGGGAGAAGGAGCCACAAACAGCCATCCCTCACAGACTTGGGCCTTGATCTTGTGTTTTAAAAAAATAACAATAAAAAACCCCCGTAGAAGTTGCACTGATTTAACATCACACTTTTAGTTAAACCGGTGGAGCTTTCCGTGTGGACGCTCCCATGTCTGTTTAATCCTGTTTTATATCAGTTTAGCTAGAACTACTTGAGTAAAGTTAAGCATCTGCGTAAAACTTTGCAGGATTGGGGTCTTGATGCCTTCTGTCACAGCAGAATTTTTTGGTATATGTCAATTCACATGTATCTCTTTTTACACTTAAACTGTTCTCATTTTATAAATCCAGTCTTTGGACACTGCTAAGTCACAGTTAACTTGTATTACTTTATAATGCTTCAGCAGTGAATAGCTATTTTGTGAGTCTGTACAAGACAGGAATACTTAACTTATAGTGTGGGAATTTCATCCCACCAAAACTAGTCCGGAGAAGAGAAGATGAGAGGGGACATTTTAACAGTTTTCAAGTACATAAAAGGTTGTTACAAGGAGGAGGGAGAAAAATGATTTTTCTTAACCTCTGAGGATAGGACAGGAGCTGCACAAGCGGTTTAGGCTGGACATTAGGAAAAACTTCCTAACTGTCAGGGTGGTTCAGCACTGGAGTAAATTGCCTAGGGAGGTTGTGGAATCTCCATCATTGGGGATTTTTAAGAGCAGGTTGGACAAACACCTGTCAGGGATGGTCTAGATAATACTTAGTCCTGCCTTGAGTGCAAGAGACTGGACTAGATGATCTCTCGAGGTCCCTTCCAGTTCCATGATTCTGTGATTACCTGGAAGAATTTTGAGGGACTGAGTATTATGCAATGTGGAAATGTGACCTGTATCAGGTAGATTGAGGAGTTTCTACCATGAATTACAAATCTTAAGGACTTTTCATGATACCTTTTTAATCTCTCTCCTAGTGATCCTACCATTTTATACAGGTGACCGTATATCACCTGTATTTTTCTGATGTTTCGAACAAACCTTGTCCCTGAACTTTCCTTGTTTTTTTTCCCAGTTGGCCTTCTGTGAGTTAGTCTGAGAAAGTCACAGAGCATGGAAGCTGAAAAGCCACCAAATCTGATTGAGTGTAGGGAGGCAGGAAAGGGACATGGTAGACAAGAACGTGTATTTAAAAATGTGACCACGTACTACATAAAAACACTTTTTTATTGAACAACAGAAAATTATGCCACAGAACAAGGAACATAAAGCATTTCAGTTGGGATAATGCTTTCAACAAAAAAGTATTTTGCAGCCCAACAATATACAAGTTCTGTTGCTGCAAACTGAAGACAACACTATATTTATTATAATAAAGTCCTAGTTAAATGGTTGACCATGCTGCTAATGTGGTATGTTTGGGACAAAACTGTTGGGGGAACATATCAATTCAAACTTTCATGGCATGTGTTGTGAATAACAGGTAATATTTTACATTTTTTATTTTGTTTACATAGGCTTGAATTAATTTATAGACATGTACATGCTCAGTGCTACTTATACAGATTTTTCTGTATGTTCAGAAACATCAGTGTTGAGCATTTTGATTTGATACGTCAAAAAGCAGTGCTGTAATCATGCAAATAAATCTAATGTAAACTCTATCGCTGCCAAATACTTTACCCTTTATAAGGATGCCTCTTGCAAAATACTTTCATATAACCGTATGCAGAGATAATATTGGTGCAGACGTTTTGTAGTTCTTGATTAAACAAATGTGTCATGAATTTCAGCCTCTTTCAAAATACAGAAAAATATTATTTGCCAAATGGAGGATATATGTGGTAGGGAAAACTGTTTTAAAATTTGTCACAAAATATGAAAAGAAAAAACCCAAACATATTAGCTCATTGTGCAATAATGCCTGTCGTTCTACATGATAGACGCTTTTGAAAGTGGTGTATGAACTTTAAGTTTTAGCCATCCAGTTCTCAGCTGCAGCCCTGTTTAATGTGTGCTCCTTAGAAGGATGGGAGGCTGATAGAACAAAATGGTCTTTTTCTTCTGAAGCTAAAGGTGATACAAAAGATTGTAGTTTGGTAACTCATGCATTTTTTGTGTCATCATTATTTAGGGTGAAAAATTTGGCCCATTTGCAGGAGAGAAGCGAATGCCTCAAGAACTGGATGAAAACACAGACTGCAGACTGATGTGGGAGGTGAGATCTATGGCGCTGATTTTGCAGACACTTACTATCACATGTAGTGTTTGCTACCATGAGTAATCCCAAAGTGATATTACACCCAGTAGAAAGCATTTGCAGAATTAGGCTCTTAATTACTATATTAAATAATTTATTAACTTCGAGGGACTATTTTGACCCCAAGTAGGAGTTTTTACAAAGCCTAACATCAATATAAATGTTTCTATGATTTTTTTTTAAAATGTATTTTAAGGGAAGCCATTTCCTTTTAAGGGAATAAGGAATAACACTTCAATTCTGCTAATTTATGAGACCCTAAGAATGAAACTGATTGCCATCCATGCTGAGGAATATGAAAAAAGTAAACAACAAGAAAGGTGAAAAGCTGATTATGAACACTGCAGCCTTTTTTAAAAAAATAACAAAAATGTAAGTTAGTGATAGAGTTAAGAAATGTTTCTTCTTCTTCTTCTTCTTTTATTAAAATTTTAGCCTGACGGTGCCCCTTTAAAAGCTGAACATATTGCAATGGCAGAGATTAAAAAATTATATTAGGGAGCAGCTTTGTGGCCTCATCATTGGGTTTGAGTTACCTAGGATTAGGTCCTGTATTTGCTAGTGTTTGGAAACTTTTTCAAACATTGTTACAGTCTAACATGATTGTAAGGCTTTTTTGGGCCCCAGCCTCATGCTGCTTTCAAACTGTTCCAGTTGTATTGTAGATCTGTGCTGTAGGTTAGTGGGTAATTAGCTCCTCTCTTCTCTCTATTCTGCAAGTGTAGAGGAGGATAAGGAAAGGAACTTGTAAAAGGGCCTAAAAATTGCAGAAGGGAAGGAGCAGTGGCTGCATAGCACAATCTCCTCAAGCTTTGGAGAAGCTTAGCTGGATGGGTGGAGCTCTGTGGGACTGATGGTAAGGAAGAGCCATGGAGCAGCTACTCTGTGGCATGCTCCCCTCAATATCCCACAGGTTGCTACAGAAAAACTGCATTACTTTTATATAGCACTTTCCACGTTCAGGGTGTTTTAAGTACGGATATTTGAAAGCAGTATTCAATAAATCTGGAAATGTTTTTAAATCTTCATTGATATAATTTGGGCACTGTGTTATACAGGTGGCTACCATTTTTTTTTTTAACAACAATTGCAGTACAATATATAGCTGTGACAGATTGGACTCCCCCCATCTGGGATGCCACCTGATGTACTGGGGTTGCACTGAGCCTCTCTTGCTCCATCAGCCTGGATTCCCTCTCCCTGTTTTACTGGATTAGGCTCTCCGGCCTCTTGCAGCACACACACACAGGTAGGGCACACTTAGATGCAGATACAGACTGAAGTCAGCTCTGTGTGAGGGGACTCACCCAGCACTCAAGTGCACAATCTTTTTGGGAGATAAACCCAAAATAATCCTGTCTTGCACTGTATAGAAAGATCTGCACAGCGCAAGCTCATAAAAATTCATCCTCTCCCTCAGTGTAGAGAGAGATGTGCACACCACAGTTACCTTAGTAAATAAACAAAAACCACAAACTGAGCTTAACATACTAGATAGGTAAGAGATAAATTAGCAAATTCTCACCGAGTGATAAACAGGTTGGCAGATTCTTAAGGCACAAGTTGTCTTGGCTTTCCCAGGTTTTTATTCACAGGCTAAAAATCTTTCAAGCGTGGGACCATTATTTTCCACAGTTCAGTCTTTGTTCCTCAGGTGTTTCCAGGTGTGGTGTTGTAGGAGGAGTGAGGACCCCACCCCCCCCATACTGTCATTTTCCTGCTTTTTATATCTTCTCCCCACTTGCTGTGACCTGGGTCAAATAGTTCCCATTGTGTAGTGCTATCTCTGAGAAGTTTCTATTGTACGCAGTTCCTGGGGTAATCCTTGTGCTTGTGTGCATTTCCTCAATAAGCCATTAACATTATTTGGCCTTTTTACTGTCGTACCTGAAAGACTGCTTGTGGGTGTTTTCAACCTCAGGACATATTTCAGCAACACATAAATAGCCAAACTTCATAACTTCACATATGACGATAGCACATACAATCCAATTAGATATTACTGTCTAGCAGATCAAGACTTTTAGAATGACACCTCACAAGGCATACTTTGTATAGGACATATCCGAATTACATGACCGTGAATATTGGGGTGTCAGGGTGTCACAATAGCTTTATGATAGTCCAGCAGGACAGAAAGCTCTGAGCTGCAGCTAGACACACAAGTGCAGTAGTTTTCAGATTCACTCTGTGCTCCCCTGATACTATTCCTCAAATGTAAGTAGTACACAGTTAGGCCCTGATCTTGTAATCAGATCCATGAAGGCAGAACCTTGTACCCATATGCAGCCTGTAGACCTGAATTTGATGGGGTAGTTTTTTATGGCTCGCCACTGATTGTATCTGACCAGAAGATTTATAGGTTCTTATCCAATTCAGACTACAGAGTTCAAGAACTCAAAGAGCTCTATATCGGGAGAGGACTTTCAGGATGCTTGTCAAGAACATGTACTCTGAGGACAATACCAAATTGATAAAAATTTTATTGAAATTAACATAAGAATAATAAATGCTGTGAAACTTATAACAGCAAAACAGTAAAAGAATTCCAAAACTCCTGGTGGTAACATTTCTATTTTAAGTACCTTAACCTAACCTACTCACACCCTTCCTTGAGGACCCGGTTATAGGAGATGAAGGACCAGCCTCACTCCTGGCATGCCCGATTACACAATGGTTCTGGCTTCTCCAATGGTTAGGAATGTTGAGTAGTTATACTATACTGCACAAGCTGAGCTGATACCATGATAGAAGATAGACTAGATAGTCTATAGAATATAGGAAAACTGGAAAAAGCACTCCCAGAAACCGAAGCTTCAGGATCTAGAAGAACCTAGAAGAGCTCTCTTACAAGGTATTTTATAGGATCCTGACCTACGTAATTCAGGCCCAACCTACTATACCCAAATATTATTTCCATGCCCTAAGAAATTTATGGGTACCCTTCTCCTATAGGTTAGCGGATTATGACACTTACTTTCTAAATATATTAATAAGGATTATATCACTCCCAAACTGCCAACCTAGGCTCTCTTGGTGAACTCTAAGTTATGGTGTACCCTGCAGTTACCAACTGGTTGTAGATGCCAGATAAACCTGTGATGTGGTGTGGATAGCTCCTCCCTTTGGTTCCCCTAAGTTCAGGGCCATTCTTATCTGTGCCAAAGGTTGCCAGCTTTTATGCTGACATTTTCATAACTGATTATACTTTTTGCTATATAGCAGATCTTACTGGATCTTACAGGCCAGTAGGCTTCTTGCATTTCAGCAAAACTTCTTATTAGAGGAAACATGCCTCAACACATCCTAAATTCCAAGGAATTAATACTGATAAAATATAAGAATAAAATGAATTAATTTCAGAAAAAGAAACATATTAATTGATACTGCTGGCTGGATTAGTAGGATATAATAGCTAGCAAAATAATCCTATGAGCTACAAGCCCTACAGAAGTTAACAATATCAGTAGGGCTCCATGGGATCCAGAAGGGAGTTAAATTCTGCTGGCATAGATCCAATTATAGGAATAGGGCTTCTATCAAGAAAATCCAGCCAAAAACCCCCCAACTCAAGCAAGAGAAAATTTCTTCTGTTCAGTGCATATTATTCTGCAGTTTTGATCTTGTTCTCTGTTAGTGCCCTTCAAAGTGACAATATGGGTGCTCCCTCCCTGAATATTTCTTTGCTAACCATTTACATGGAGAGAATTTTTTTTAAAGTTCAATGATTTTAGTCCTGTTATACACTAGACCCAGTGTAGCTTGGTTTGGAAGCTTGGCTTCTTTATGCCATTGAAGCTCTGCTTTTAAGGAATTTATACCCATAATCAACTTTAAAATTTTAAAATTGGGCCTGGCTGAGGCAGGCAAACAAGTTCCTGTTAAATTTAAATGGAAATTGTCACTAATTTTTTTCCATGTAGTTTTCAATAAAATTTCATTTTCTTTTGAATTTGTAAAGCTCCAAAATTCCCTATTTTATTTTTTTCAGCATAGCTTACAAAATTCACTACTAAATGAAAACAGGATTTTACACATTCCAGTTGTCATGCCTCAGTATTATGTTTGGCTTGTGGCTGAAGATGGGGAGGGATAGAACAACACAGGCTGATTTCTCCACCGGCTTTCACCTTACGAGGTTGGAGGTATAAAGGTTACTATACTATCAGTTGTTTATTGTGTGGCAGCAGGCAACAGGTGTCCTGTTTCCCACCATGTATTCAAAGAATTATCTATGCACTTACTAAAAGGGAAATGAGGCTTAAAAAAAAAATTAGTATTAACATTGCCAGACTACATGCACACTATAACCTGGTCTCACCACAGTCAAGCTATCTGTAAAAGCACACTATGAATCAGATTCTGCATAGCTAAACAACATGAGAGAGAATGCTAAAAGACAGTCTCATTATACCCCAAATCAGTATAAATCTAGTGATGTGGGAACTGCAAAAGGTTCACAGTTGGATGGTTTATTCAAGCCTGTGAAGGCCTTCAACACTGACTGGTTCTCATTTTGACTGTTATGAGAGAATATATGCAGTGCAAGCACACCTATGCTCCTTCGTTGTATGAGTTGGTTCTATATTCCAGGAGAGCAACTGATAGTTGTGGTGTCATGACAACTGGCTTGATTTCATTGGCCTTCATCAATTTTAAAAAAGTATACATTTGATGTCAGTTGTGTACTGAATGCCCTACAATTTGGTATCATACAACTATCTCACTTTTTCACTGCATTTCTATAGGTTACCTTCAAGCAATAAGATATTTTACCTGGGGTAGACTTTAGAACACATTGGGTAGGTAAAGGCACCAAGATGAAGGCCTGCTAATTTAGGTTGCTTATGGAATGCAATAGCCTTTTAAATTCCTTGTTGCTGATGTTTATATTGAATGTATCCTTTCTTTATAAGGCAAAAAATAAAAGCCAGACACATGTGTTTACTGACAACATT